CCCTCCCTCCCTCCTTCCAACTCTGTTATTCTCTGAAGCTTCTCAAATAAGAAACTAAAATGTTTTCAAAGAAAAACAAAGACAGTTGCCTTTTGAAAAAGCACCTTTGGCATCAGGGGTGGGTTCCTGCCAGTTCCAAGCTCTTCTATAGAAGAGGTTCCACAAATCTACCATGCCATTTAGAACCGGTTCCAGCTCCCTCCGCCCGTCCGCACATCATCAAGATGAAGAGCGAGAGGAGGAATCCTGGTAGTTGAAGTCCACAAGTCTTAAAGCTGTCAAGTTTGAACATCCCTAGGGTTTTTTTTTTCTAAAGGGTTAGGGGTGCAAAAGGGTCTTGTAACTTGACAGCTTTAAGACTTGCGTGCTTCAAATGCCAGCGTTTCTGAGCCAACATTTTGATTGCTAAGCAAGAGCGTTGTTAAATGAGTTTCACCACATTTTACAAGTTGGCCACGCCCACTCAGCCACATGGCTGGCAAGCCACACCCACAAAAGAGGTTCTAAAATTTTTTGAAACCCACTACTTTGGCACACAGAGAAAGAAACATTCAAGTGAAGAGTCCAACTTTAAGATGCTGCTTATTCCAAAGATTCAGTGAAGTCTGTCTACTGCTGTGTTTTCTTCATGTTTGCCACTTTTAGATGTGTGGACTTCAACGTCCTGTTCCTTTCTTTATAGGATTGCGCCGATTTACCACATTGATTTGCAAACCATACCGGAAGTGGAAGAAGTAGTCGTGGATGAAGCAACGATCAGGAAAAGTTACGTGTAGAACCAAGAGTTCTGGAGATCGCAAGCCATAATTTGGTTTGCTGATCGTCGTAAATGCAAACTAGGTTCCATCTTATCCAGACTACTTCTAATCATAGTTATAACATTGACATAATGTTTGCACGCTGGGGTATTATTTTAGATTTTGGGGTGCACATAACCTTGGATTATTGGGCTTACCACCGCCCTCCAGGGTTCAGCAGGAGTAAATGCTTTTCTGACTTTAATTTCGTGGTATCAGCAAATCAATAAAAACCGCATGACAAAAACTGCTGCCGCCTAATTGTTTTTCCTTTTAAATTTTCTATTTATTAAAATATTGCGTTCATTACCTGGTGGCTGCTTGGAAACTCAGTGGGTCAGAGTAATTTTATATTTGGTTTCAAGAAATCTTGAAACAATTGGAACATCCTGGAACATGGTTGGCTGACAGGATTATATTGACACTGCTAAATCTTTTGTGTGGATGTGGTTGAAGGGGAGGGCATGGACTCAACTTAGGACATTCCTTTAGTGATTGTTCAGAGTTAACAAAGGTGCTGTAAAGTGACTTAATGGGACAGGATGTCTATGGAGATTCCCAATCATCAAGGTCATAGAACGTAGGATTAAGAGAGTTGGAAGGAACCCCAGAGGTCTTCTAGTCCAACCCGCTGCTTGAGCACGAGACCCTATACCTTTTCAGACAAACGGTTGCCCAATCTCCTTTTGAAAGCTTCCAGAGATGGAGTACCCACAACTGCTGAAGTTATTCCAACGGTGCTTTGCAAACTTTTACGGTTTTCAAACTATGGTTTTTCAAATTTCAAAACAAGAAGTTTGGAAAAGCATCTTTCCAAACTTCATGGTTGTTTAGTTTAGTTTTCACTTTATTTGTATGCTGCCCTTTTCCCTGGGGGGGACTCAGGGCGGCTCACAGTTCAAAGGGGGGGGAAGGACAAACAATTTACAACATAAAGACACAACATCATTTAAGAACTCAACAGTCATACAATTCGAGTAGGGGGTTAGAGTCTTTAACCCCAGGCCTGCCGGGATAGCCAGATTTTAAGGGCGGTGCGGAAGGTCTGGAGGGTGGTGAGGGTCCGGATCTCCACGGGGAGTTCGTTCCAGAGGGTCGGAGCAGCCACCAAGAAGGCTCTCCTCTAGATGCCTTTTGAAAAGCAATTTTGGGACAACCCAATTTTGGGTTGTCCCAAAATTGCTTTTCAAAAGGCATCTAGACTTTGGTGTTTTCCTTAAAACGTTTCGCCTCGTTTCCAAGAAGCTTCAGAGAATAACATAATAACAAGAGTTGGAAGGGACCTTGGAGGTCTTCTAGTCCAACCCCTTGCTCAGGCAGGAAACCTGATACTATTCCAGGAAAATGGCTACTCAATCTCTTCTTAGTGTTGGAGAATTCACAAGTTGCCTCAGCCTGAGTTCAAGGTAAACTCCCCCCCCACCCCACATGAAGTCCAGTTGAAAAACACTCTTGGCATTAAGGACCATTGCAACACATTATTGGGGTTTGGATGCTTAGCATTTGTGCCACATTTAGCATCTGGGGAGGGCGGTGATTGCCGTTGTAATCTTCCCAAGAGACTTCCGACATGCAATATCAACACGGGGATTTATTTCACCAGGGTGGGGGGGAAAAAAGAGTCTTAAATCACATGTCTGCATCAATTGGTGTCACAGGTGCTGGTCCCCCATTATAGTCATTTGCTGAGGAATACTTGTCTATGGGAGATTCTCAGTCACCCAAGTTCGTGGTATGCCCCAAAGCTGCTTTTGCAAAATGCAAAACTGGGTTTTCTTTGTTTTTGTCTTTTGAAACATTCCACTTCTCATCCAAGAAGCTGGAGCTGAAAAAAGCACCTTGGATGAGAAGCCAAATGTCTTTGGAAAAAAAAGCAGAAAGTCAAATTGTCTCCTGGAAAAAAGCACCTTTGTGACTGAGGGTTATTTCTACATGTGCATTGCTGGAAGAGACCCTTAAGCCAACCATGCTGAGAACTTTTTGGGGAGGGGTAAAAATGGATGCAATGTTCTCAGGGAGCTAGACCAGTGGTCTTCAACCTTGGCAACTTTAAGACCTGTGGACTTCAACTCCCAGAGTTCCTCAGCCAGGTCTTAAAGTTGCCAAGGTTGAAGACCACGGAGCTAGATAGTCTTGTGCAGGTAGTGCTTTGCTTATGATCATAACTGAGCCCAACATTTCTAATGAGACATTTTGCTTTGCCCCGTTTTTATGACCTTTCTTGACCCATTCGTTAAGCGAATCGCTACAGTTGTCAATTTAGTCACACGGTTGTTAAGTGGATCTGGCTTCCCCATTGACTTTGCTTGTCAGGAGGTCACAAAAAGGGATCAAGTGATTCCCCACCCCACCCCCCAGAATTCTGCAACCATCATAAGTATGAAACAGTTGCCAAGCCTCTGAATTTTGATTACACGGGGATGCCACGGTGGTCGTGTAAAATGGTCCTCTTTTTCCCCCCAGTGCTGTTGTAACTTTGAACGCGTCCCTAAATGAATTGTTGTAAGTTGAGGCTTATCTGAACCTCCCTCCCCTTCTTAGATCGGCCATTCAGCCGTTTTCAAAGATTGCAGCTACATTTTTCAGGGGGAGAGATACCCAGTCCTGATTTGGGGGAAGAGGGAAGGAGAACCCACTATGCAACTTACAAATAAATGGCTGCACATCCCATTTTATAAACCTTGGTCTTCTGCCCCTGGCATTGTTGCAGAATAACTTCTCCATGGGAAAGCTTAAAAAAAACACAATACAGCTTAAAAAGAAGAAGGGAAAGCAAATGATTTGTTTTGGAGAGTCAACAGAAGGTGAGGGATAAGACTTTCTCTAGGGGAAATGTGGCCTGATGGAGACCTTGAAGATGGCTGCCAAATTAAAAGAGCAGCGTTCCAGCTGTACAATGATGATGATGATGATGATAAATAGTCTGCACAAAGGAGTAAGCTTTTGGAAATAAGGGAGAGGTTGGGCATCTCTGAAGTTAATTTTGTAAAATTAACAGCAACTCCACCCGTGTGAAGCTGGAGGAGGAATCTTGCAAGAGCAAGATTTGCAGCACATGGGCTGGTGCAAAAGATGGACCTTTGGGGAAATTCAGTCGGAGATCAGACATGGCAGTTGGAGGAGGACGCTGAGTAACAGAATATAGGTAGTCCTCAAATTACGACCACAATTGAGGCCAACGTTTATGTTGCTTTGTAACTTTGAGGGGTCACTAAGCGAGCTCATTCATTTATTAACCGAATAATGTTGGAATTCCTAAAGGAGTTCCCCCCCCTCTCTTTCCATTCTTCTTTCTAGGGTTTTTGCAAGGATGGGGTCAAAAGAGTCAAAATAGTCACCACAATTATGTTTTTTCCCCTCCCACCCCAAAGAAGAGATTTGAATTCATACTTGTGGCCTCCATTTTGACTTTTTTGACTCCATCCCTGCAGATACCCCTAACTAGGATGGGGGGAAAAGCACAGAAGTGAAGGCACAAGAAGAAGCTACAGATGAAACAAAGGGAAGTGATCAGTGGTGGAATTCAGCCAGTTTGCACCTATTCGGGAGAACTGGTTGGTAACTTTTTTTTAAATTTATTTTTATTTTATTTTATCAATTTCATATATACACTCACAATTATATGATCTCATAACTGTTATTAATAATATGCATTTATAACAATTTTTCCCTACAGTTGACAATATACTTGAAGATTGCTTTTTTAACATCCCATAGAGCCATCTTATCTTACAATGGTCCTACTTCTTCTTCCCTCCCTCTTTCCTTCCCTCGTTTCTTCTCTCCTACTCCCCTTCCCTCCTTCCTTCCCTCCCTTCTTTCCCTTCCCTCCTTCTCTCCTTCCCTCCTACCTTCCCTCCTTCCTTCCCTCCTTCCTTTTCTCCTTCTCTCCTTCCTTCCCCCCTTCCTTCTCTCCTACATTCCCTCCTTCCTTCCCTCCTTCCTTCCTTCCCTCCTTCCTTTTCTCCTTCTCTCCTTCCTTTCCCCCTTCCTTTCCTCCTTCCTTCCCCCCTTCTCTCCTACATTCCCTCCTTCCTTCCCTCCTTTCTTCTCTCCTTCTCTCCTTCCTTCCCTTCCTTCCCTCCTTCCTTCCCCCCCTCCCTCCTTCCCTCCCGCCTTCCTACCCCCTTTCTTCTCTTTCTTCTCTCCTTCCTTCCTTCCTTCCTCCTCTCCTTTCCCTTCTCTCCTTCCCCTTCCTCCCCTTTACCCTTCCCCTCTTCTTCCCATTCCTCCCCTCTTTCCTACTCTTACATTCCCTCCCATTCTTCCTCTGCCTTTCCCTTTCTCCTATTCCTCTTCTTTCTCCTCTCCTTCCTATCTTTCCTTCTACTCCTCCCTCCATCCACTCTATCCGTTGTTGTGTTTACATAATCTCCTCTTCAGGGGATCTGGTTGGTAACTTTCTAAGCAGTTCGGAGAACCGGTTGTTGGAAGAAATCTCCTTTTGTTTTTCCCCACTTTACAGGGCTAATCCTGTAAGGAAGGCAGGAAGGAAACATTCTGGGGTTGTTTCCAGCCTAATCTTTATTGCCCTGCTTACAGAAACTGCCTCTTCGGTTAACCCTTATTACCATTGTCATAGCTAAGGCCAAGTGCCCATCGACATGAGTGACGTTGAGATGGCCATGCCAGAGATCGGTTGCTACCGGTTCGCACCAGTATTTTGGCCTGGGTTGTCTGAACTGGCAGCGACACAGGCTTGCCACACCACCGAACTGGTTCCCGGGTCTCTGCTGCCGTTGCCGGCAAGGTATTTATTACTTTTTAATGGTCCTTGTGCATGCACAGAACAATTTGCATTGAACTGTGTATGCACGATCTACGTCTGGCTGGCACAAAGTGTGTGTGAAGTTGAAGTGAACCGGCAGCAACGCCGTCAGCAACCCGCCCTTGGGCCACGCCCACCAAGTCACATGACCACCGAGTCACATGACCACCGAGTCAGCTGGTCATTAGGGCAGAGAACCAGTTGTTAAATT